AAGTAATTTAAGAAAGTCGTGTATTATCTGTCCGTGCTGTGTGAGCAGCCAGTCACACATTATTATTGGCAATTCTCAATTAGTTCAATTTATGGGTCTTTCTTATCGCTTTGTCTGATCCCAGGTAAATCTCCCACTGGGCTCTATTATCCATCAAAAATATGCTGCTAAAATTTCCAGCAATATTTGTTCTCCCAAATGTTCAAATTAAAACCTCTTAGTAGTGTAAGTGAACAATGCAAATACAATCTAATAAGATGCACAACATTCACACAATCTTTTCAGGAGTCTACAATCTATAAAGTAGCACAGGATGAATTTGTAACTGGGTCACGTAAATTTGCATCAACAGTTGCCAGTTTGTTTTTCTTGGCAAATTTCTTTGTTGGCAAGTAAACCCCTCCTCCCTCCCCCCCCCCCCCCCCCCCCCACCTTTGCCGATATGCTTTTCCACATATCCCAGGTCCTGGCAACATTTAATGTCAGTTCTTCTTGTGTAAACCAGATAGGTAAGGTATTTGACTGAATGCAGATGTGACAATTAAGGCTGATCCTATCTTACCCGATACCCTATGAACATTTTCATAGATGATCACTGGATAGGGACATAAACTGGAAACCTGGCTTTGCTTTTTCCATTTTGCCCTGTCCTTCCTGGCACTGAGGGCAATTGTAGCACCTCACTAGGTGCCCCGTCTGGCTGCTAGACCAGGGATTCAATCTATGACCTTCTGATTTGGTCTGATTTTGCACTATGGAAATCTTTACCCATTAAGGCCATCGGCAGAGCCCATTCTCCAACAGTGTTCACCTATTTGTAAGAGTAACATTTTATATCAATAACCCAGATAGATAGGAAGCTGATAGAAATAAATAGACTTTTGTTCGTTATTGTAATGAGATGTACTGAAATGGGGTGTTTTTCTCTTTTTAAAACGAAAGAAAGAGCAAAACAATGAGACTTGAATTTCCCCCCTGTTGTTTGATATAGTCATTCGTATCCAATTCAGGTGGTTTTGCAATTGATGCTACATTATAATACTTCCATTTGATAGAGAGCCTTATCACATCTTTGAGACGTCTAAAAGTGCTTCACAGAATATACTGTAAAATTAATTCATTGTATATTTTGTGGGCCAACGATTGTACACCAATGCCACTTAAACTGCACAGGGAGATCAAGTCAATATGAATCCATATTAGGACTTGTCTGGTGAATTGACAGTCGTCATCATATACATTTCCTTTATGCAGACGGAAACTGTTTTAGATGGCATTGGTTACCCCCACCTCCTCTAGATGTTGCCAATTTTAGGTCCTTATCTGGCTGAGACATGAATTGGAATTCCAAGGCACCATCACGCTCAGGGAATTACTTCCTTTCCACATTAACAGGCAGATCCTTTATTTGATCCGTGTAAGGGGTGAAATACCTACTGATTGAATGTCTCCCTCCCCCCACTTCCTTTTCCATATGGATCTCATTTTCACACTAGAGTTCAATGGACAGATAAAGATTGATGTAACTACACCAGATCAATTATGTTAAATTAATGTGAACAATTCTTATTATTTCAATTAGATGCCTCTTTATAATGTTCCTTTGGGGAGTGAGAAAGGTCCTTGATTATATTAATACTGCTTTAATGTAGCGGGTATTATTGAGAACAGGAATTATATTTATAGGCTTTCCATATGCAGCTATTAATAATAATAATAATCCTTGCATTTGATATAGCATCTAATCAAGTCTTTGAGTGCACTAGGTCCACCTACAAACAGAGCAAGACTACAGCTGACTAAGGGTGTAATGTCAATTTACATATCAAGTTGGTCTCTTTGTAGTAGAGCAATGTCTCTTATCATGTTCGCTGGATTGCAAGTTAAATTTCTTGGTTTACCCATCTATTAAGAAATACCCTTCCTCAATGAGTTTTCAATGAAACAACTTACTGAAGGTTGCAATAGAAATTTATAAATTGTCGCTCTTTGAGTCTCTGGTCTTAAGTATCAAATCTTGTCACTCCACCCATATGAAGATAGAATATTAAAGACTGTGCACTTGCTTTCTGTTTTTCATCACTTCAGCTGCTGCCTCCACTCTGCTAACACCAGCCTGCTCCATGTCCCCTGCCCAATCCATCCCAACATTGGTGGATAAACTTCCAAACATTCTGCCCAGTGCTCTGATACTCTGGAAGTCCCTATGCCTCCCCACCCCCTAACCTTTAAATTCTGCCTTAAGACCCATTTTTCTCATATTTTCAACTTCTTTTTCTGTCACCTTCCTCCGCTCAGGTACCCAGTCTGGTTTATAAAAGCACTTTGAGATATCCTCACAACACGAAAAGCACTACATCACTGTAAATTATTGGTGATGATCGGGAACTTGCACAGAGCTGAATGCACATTTCTGATTTAATTAGACTGGATCATTTATAGTGCACATTGGTCACAATTCTGCCTTGTCTTGCTTTTCTTCCTTTGGTCAGGAGGATAGGGGAAAGTAACACTGCCCCTTTGGGACCTTTGTTTTGCAGTAAGATTATCGAGATCCTTGTAGTATTACTAACAATAACTATATCTGATATTGAGCTATACAAACCTGGAAGGTCCAAATAGTGAGAGAGTGTAGACTGACCTACGTTGTCCTAGGTGGTATAGATTCATTGAGGTGAACAAAAGCACCCCTACTGGGATCAGCAAGGAGCAGCGATCCAGTCTTTTAGTCAAACAAATATTAACAGTCTTGTTCGGAATAAAACATTTCTAAGTAATTATTAATTATGAGTTCTAAGAATTCTGTAAAACATGTATGAAGAGTAATATTATTGCAGATTACTGTTCTTAATCTTCTGAAATTGATGAATTCCAAACACTCATATCAGGATTAGTGCTTCTCAGATGTTATGGAATATTTTTCAACTCTTGTGCTTTTCTTTTCTAAATCCTGGGTGAAGTTACATTTATTTGTTTGGAGCCAGCATTAAACAATGATTTTGTTTTGGATGAAACGCTAAATCAGAATCTATGCACAGTATTTAAGAACAGTTTTATGATTGTATGCCATTTACCTACATATACACATCCCCTGCACCTTAAAAAAAATCCTCACACAGCATCTTTAACATCAGGAAGATGTCTCAAAACATTTCACAGAATGTAATGTGAAGTATAATTACACTGTATTTATATAGAGTATAAATACAAATGGTAGCTAATGTGTCCCACAAACTGCCATGAAGGGAATGACCCAATTTTATTCAGAGGATTGTTGGCCTGGAGAATGGGAGAAACTACCTTCTCTTGTCGAATTGTGCTATGGCATCTTTAACATCTGATGAATTATAGTCGTTAATCATATACATTTCCTTTACACGGATAGCAACTCTGTTTAAATGGTGTTGGCTACCCCCACCTCCGCTAGATGTTGCTAATTTTAAATCCTTACCTGGCTGAAAATGAACTAGAATTCTGAGCCATCGCCACCCTCAGGTGTTACTTCCTTTCCACATTAACAGGTGGATCCTTTATTTGACCCATGTAAGGGGTGAAATACCTGTTGATTGAATGTCTTCCCCCACTCTATCCCTTTCCATGTGGACCTCATTCCACACCAGAGTTCAATGTCCACAGGCAGCCCTCTTTACAAATCTCTTTGGGGTATGGAGTGGACGATATAAAGATTGATATAATTACATCGGATGGATTATATTAAATTAATGCGATCAGTTCTTATTATTTCAATTAGATGCCTCTCTGTATTATTCCTTTGGGGAGTGAGAAACAGTTTTCATTACATTAATCCTGCTTTAATGTAGCGGGTAATGTTGAGAGCAGAAATTATATTATAAAATTTCCAGAAGCAGCCATGAGTGCACTAGATCCACCTGCTAAAATCAGAGCACCTTCAGCGATTTGCAAGATTTGGGCCCCCAGTTGACAAAGTCTGCCATAAAATTGGGTTGATGTACAAGGCTGGCTTTGATCACTCAGTGAAAATATCGAGAGGCAGCCCCCATGGTCGTTCAAATGGTAAAGCCATCTAGTGTGGAGTTCAGGGATACAGTGCAGAAAGGTCCCACGTTTGATTTCCCCCAGGCTTGAGCTGAGTAGATGATCTCATGCATGGCAGATTGAGAGATACAATTGGCTGAGTTTGATCTCTGCTGTAAAATGGACATTGGGGAACCCAAGATTCCTGTGTTCTTTGCCTTTAAGTCGTGAGATTGTCTTCAAATTTAAGATTACGCAGAATTTTAGAAAACGGTCTTAAATTTTGTCTTAATTTGAAATCCAGTTATTGTAGTTTTTTGCTTTGGTTACTTTACACTTTAATTCAATGATCTAAGAACTTGAGAACTTTAATCCCCCACCCCCCCCACGGTATGACAACAGGATGGTCTCAATTGCATTTCCCACCCATCTTCCACACCTCCATGACCCCCATCGCCTTGCCTATTTAAGCAAATTAATAATTTAATATTGATATAAAATTACTGATTAAAATTACTCAATTGTTTGTGAGCTGTGGCTTTACATTTGTGAAGTGATATACAGGAACCGTTTCTCTGTGTTTGCCATATTCTCAATCTTCTTTAAACCAAAAGGCTATAGCAACAGGCATCACATTGTTATTCTTAGCATTGCACCTCTACAACAAGGTTCAGGGAACTGGGTGTTTGAGATGCACACACCAGAAAGGGTTGCGTTCTCAGGGTTAACATTCATTAATTGTTGTTCTTTATCACGCGCGATGACTCACTCATTACTCAGGGCTGCTTTTAATTCAGTCAGTGACAGGAGGAGAGACCTGTGTGATTGAATTCTCTCTCCTGCTGAGATTAATACTGATAACCAGCGACCCATTGCATTGATTTGTTATCTGAAACTATTAAAGTAAAAAGAGAAAGATCTCTTGGAATCGGCTGTGTTCAGTTGCACTAGTGTCTCAGTTCTGTGTGTGTGTGTGTAAAAAAAATACCACCTTATATTTTCAGAATGAAGAACAAACTGTGGTACTTTGAATTTGGAACGACTGAGACCTTTTCAGCCACGTGCAAGAAATTAAATGAGTTTGTGGAAGTGGAGGTACGTTTCCAGTTTTTTTTATTGGCAGGGTTGTCTAAGAAGCATTAAAGAGGCTAATGTGTAATTGGTTTAAGACTTGAGAGGCAGTAACAAAGCACTGAAAGAGAGTCATTCATGGCTTCTGCACGTGACTTGGCCTGGACTCTGAATTCAAGCTGAATGAAACTCTATCCAACCAGCCGATCATTTGCTAAAGATATGATTTACCGACACATGAGAATATCAGTAATAATTCTAAGAAATTGCTTCTAGCTCCCTTCAGCTTAAATCATATTTCACCAGACCTCCTCCTTAATGTGAACCATCTGGAGTAGGAATGAATACTCCAACCACAGCTGTGCATTACAAATGCCCATACTGTTCTGTCTAAATATTTTCTCTGGGGATGTCAGGAATGGCTATATTGCTACAAATGTGCTAAATGGCTTTGAGGAATAAAGAAGCATTATTCTGTTCTTATGGGTCCTTCCCATGTGTAAAAAAATATTTTCACGCCATTCTAGTCATTACACGCTTATCCAGCCTGCAGATGATTCTAAGAAAAAGCGTCAGCTTGGCTTCAGTAAGTAGGACTCTTGCCTCTGTATGAGAAAGTTGTGGATTGAAGCACCAGTACGACTTACACCAGTGCACTACAGCAGGGCACCGTATTATTGAATGAGACATTAAAGTAAAGTCCTGTGTACTTGCTCAGGTACACAGTGAAGCTCCCATGATGCTATCTGAAAATAGGACCCTGGCCAATAAGGCCCTCTCCAGATTAGTCATTTACCTCAATGTTTGTTTAGTGGGACAAAAACAGTCACTGCACTGATTTCTTTGGTAAGCGTTTTAAAGCATTATCTCCTGATCAGACACAGTACAAATGTAGTTTCTTTCATTATTGATGAATGAGCCTGGCTGCATTGACCGATGCTGCTTTTATATTTTTAATCCCATAGTTCGGACTATGATGCTGGAGTGCAGGCTCTGACACACTCTTTTAACATCACTTTCTGTGCAAAACAGTTTCCTCCAGTTTAACCTCGACAGCACAGAGCTCCTTTTGTGCATTTCACATTTCACCCTTCCACAAATAAAGCGAGGATTTAACTTGGGAGGAGGAGCTTGGGCAGATACCAGCTAATTTTTTTGGCTACTGCAGACTCTATCACTGATTACAGTAGCAGAGATTATATTCTATCTGCCTCCGCCAAAACAGGGAACTCGTCAGAGCCCTGATGTTCCAATTAGTTTTAACTTGTTAGACCATTTGACTACAAACACACAGGCAGTACATTTCACAGTAAAATCCTGTGAAGCACTTTGGGATGCCTCGATGTGACAAGGCGGTGTTTGAGACTGAAAAATCTTCAATTCTGTCTCAATTTAAAAGTGGGTTCTTTTCAAGGGCTGCATTAATTCAGCTTCCAAGTTGAGATGAAATGTAAAGGTTTGTCTTTACCGTGCTGGGTGACCCTATATTTTCAGACAAAATAGTGTAACAAACAAAAACTGGGTGGAATTCAGGCCCCACAACAATGGAACCAATCGTTTCTGGCCCAAACAGAGCCCAATCACATATTTTCCTCTCTCCATGGATGCTGCCTGACTTGCTGCATGTTCCCAACAACTTCTATGTTTATACCAGATTTCCAGCATCTGCAGTACTTTGACTTTTGTTTTTTGTTTCCAATCATCTATTTGTTCACCTCCCATTTGGGACAAGAAGAAATAACAATATTTGTATTTTAATATAGTGCTTAATTACATTGCAAACCCTCTCAAAGAACTTCACATGATGAGTTGCAGTTTTCTGATTGCCTTAACAATTTAACCTTTAACAGCAAAGTCCCACGAACAGCAATGAGATGAAGGACCAATTAATTCGATAAGGGAGGACATCAGAGATCTTTGTGACATTCTTCAAAATGATCCCACGGGATCTTTAATGTCCAACTGACCCGACAGCTTGAACCTTAGGTTTATGTCTCCACTGAATGACAGTGTCTCCAACAGTGCAGCACTCCCTCAGCATTGCCTCAGTATTGTATTGGAGTGTCGGCCTGGATTATGAGCTCAAGTCCTAATGTGGAAGTGAAACCCACAACCTTTTAACCCATTGGCAAGAGAACGGCCAGTTGAGCCTGATTGACGCTATAGCAAAGGTTTTAAAAGGGAGACTGCTTTCATGAAAAATTGTTTGGCAAACCTTTGGGAATTTTGGGGTGGAGGAGGAGGGAATCATTGTGTAGCACATACCAAAATGTGTCAACACATGTCAACACCAAAAATGTGACTGCTTCATGGAGGGGGTGGGGGGTGTCTGATGACTCGGACCTGATGTTATGGGTCTGTGTTGGAATAGACACATATATACACACACAATCCATGTTTGTTTGGATTATGTACAAAATATACAGTCAATTCACTTTACAGTATATTCCGTGAAGCGCTTTGAGACGTCTCGAAGATGTGACAAGGCGCTGTATCAAATGCAAGGATTATTATTATTACATACATATATACACACACTTAAAAATGCACACTTTTTCTCACACACGAAACACACACACATACAGATATATAGGTATCTACGCACATACACACACATATGTACATATATATGTACACACACACTCTCTCGCACGCACGCACACACAGGGATGATGAACATGAATAAAAAGACCTACAAGCTGAATGCTGTGGTGGCCAGCATTGATCGCTAGTGCCCTTATCTTTCAGCAACCTCCTAATGTCACCAGAGGTACAAGCTAAGATGTCTGCTGTCACTGCATTTCTTTCTGTGTTCTTCAGCCTTTCTGCCCCCACTTTCTGGAACTCCATCCCACAGTCCCTCCTCCTCCCCCCTTTCCCTCTCCAACTTCAAAATCCATCTCAAGACCCTCCTCTTCGACTGTGCCTTCGATCACCCTCCTCCCCTTACCCTCCCCACTCTCCAACCCTCCTGATCCCAACCACCAGCTCAGGTGATGATCCCTGATTGTCCAGCGCCTTGGGACGTCCTGCTGACGTGAAAGGCGCTATAGAAATTTAATTTGTTGTCAGTGTCGTTTGGAACACTGATGGAACTGCAACCTGTCGCCCCTCCTCGGGGTGCGCTTGCAAAATATTTCCTACTGTTTATGCTTCTTGTTCTCCACGTGAAGGAAACATCAAATGAGGCCTTTTGGGATTTACCACCTATTTGTTTTTCTGAATAAGTATTTAAATATGGGATGGCATTGATTGGTCCCACGCAGTTAGCAGCCTTGATAGCCTTGGTGCTTGGTCAGACCACAAGGAGAAACAATTAATTGATGGTGCCAGAGGTGTAGCACATCCAAGAAAAGGTTTGCAACTCTTCAACATCACTGTTATGTTTTCGCTTCTTTAAAAGAGATAAATTGCAGCTGATTTTACAGAAATAGGCCTGGAGATATTTTCCACTTTATTCAAAATCATTGCCTTTGACATTAACTATATATTTTATTGCTACATTTCATTACTGTTGGCACAGAAGAGGTGGATTATCCAAATTATCCTTTGTTCCCATCCAGTTTCAATATTATATGGATATCTTCTGCTCTTCTATTCATTGCTTTTATTATGTGTAATAAACAGCATATGCCACCCAGCGCTAACTCATCATAAATGTACAGCTCACAGCACAAGCTTTTAGCAAAAACATTCCAAGTAAATGACTTTCGTCCATTCATCATTCAGATTCACTTGCTGGCAGCTTGCCAAGCGCAGTAAAAATTTGTCATCTGTTTCCATTGCTGTCAAGACTGCAGACTGGGCGAAAGGCAACACTGTGAACAATGAAAAATTGTTTTTCCATTCCCTGCCACTCTGTTTATAGTGGCTTTGACCTGCAGTGCTGATTGGAAATAGCAGGGATATAAAAAAAACATGCAAATCCAATTGGAACCTAAGGGTCAATCAAAGGAAGATTACTTGAATTTTGGATTTTATCTGTTCAGCGACAGTCACTGCACTTTACAGTATATCTTGTGAAGCTCTTGAGGACGTCGCCACAACATGAAAGACTATACCAAATGTTAAGATTATTATTATTATTACTTATTAACTTGGAGAGTGTCCAGTATTTGATTTGAATACAGTCTAAATTTTGAAGCCTCTTTTCTACAAATTCTTTTACCAACTGCAGAAAGCTTCAATGTGAGTACTGAATTCAACAATACCTTTTGGAGTATATACAGTGCAGAGATAGTGTTCAGAGGTGAGCACTGGCTGAGTTTCTTTCTCCTCAGTATCACAGGGCTTTGTGAGGCCAATTGTAATCAATGTTAACATTCTGCTCAGCCCAAAGCAGGGATTGAAGCTGGTCTTCTTCAGGCTCTGACTCACATGGCCAGTGGGTTTATTAGCTGAGTCATGGTCCATTAACAAAATTCTCAATTATATCACAAAACTGTCAAAGATTTCTCAGGTTGTTAGACTGACTAACCGACCACCACTGACCGATCATCACTGATATGATTTTGGGAGGATGATTAGTTGTCTTCATGAACCTTCTTTACACTTCCTAAATGGTTTTGCACATTGATATTTCTTCAGCGCCACTGCAATACTGCCATGTATCCAACTCTGACTAATCTAGTTACGGTGACTCATGTGATTGTATTTCATTCTGTTCTTATCATCGGGCCCCTCCAGCTTGTAATAAAGTCAGCAGCAGCAGGCGTAATGAGTAGTGGGCTAACAGTTTGCTGTTGTAGACAGGGTTGCAGACCCATTCCACTGGATGAAGTTTTTCAGCTCTGGTTTGCCAGTACACGGTTACTGGAGCCCAGCACAGCCACTTTAATTATTGTGGAGTACTGTAGTGTATTGGTTAGTTAGAGCACTCGCAAGCAAGAAGACCTGGGTTTGATTCCCAGACAAGGTTAAACGTTGGGCAAGTTTCCTTACTCCATATGCCTCTTTGCCTTGCATTGTGCAGGAACTGTTAGTCGATTGGCAGATTGCTTTCCAGGGATAATAATCCCTTCAAA